GGAAACAGAAATTAGAAATCCAAAAGTATGAAAGAAAACACCAATTATGTAAGGAAAGGTCCAGTGGTGGGTTTCAAAAATTTTTGGAACCTCTTCTGTAGGTGTGGCCTGCTTTTCAGGTCCACTGATGGAACCTCTTCTAACTGGTTCGGTATATTTGACGAACCGGTTCTACCGAATAGGTGCAAACTGGTAGGAACCCACCTCTGATTTGAAGGTTCAAGGACATTTTATTTTGAATATCTATTTCAGTGTTCACAAAACATGATTTTTACTGAGTTTTCCTTTTTCTATAGATAAAGTAAATAATAGTTGTTTTATGATATTCTTATTTTAAATAGTCATTTCCTACTACTGAGATGTGAATAAACCTTTTAGTTTGGGTGGGAAGCAGAGGTGGTATTCAGCGGGTTCTGACCAATTCTGGAGAACTGGTAGTGGAACTTTTGAGTAGTTTGGAGAACCGGTAAATACCACCTCTGACTGGTCCTGCCCCCATCTATTCTCTGCCTCCTGAGTCCCAGCTGATTGGAAGGGAATGGAGATTTTGCAGTAACCTTCCCCTGTCATGCCCACCAAGCTACACCATGCCCACCAAGCCACGCCCACAGAACCAGTAGTAAAAAAAATTGATTCCCACCACTAGTGGGAAGATTTAAGAGTTGACCTATGGAAAATTGATGTACAATTATACTTAATAAAATGTGATTCATCTAGCCAGACTTCCAATGGCCAATATGAAGATTTCATTGGTCATATTAAAAAGTAACACAACATTTAAAATCTATCCAGTGAAGTCACAAAGTGAGACCCACACTTGAATCTGCTAAACTCTGCCGTAAAACTGCAAAAAGTGAAGTGCTCACCAAGATGTTCGGCAAAATTTCCAATGCTATCACTCAGAAAAGAGACAAAAGGATGTCCTTTCATCCTTCTCCAGACAAGCCCGGTGCATAACTTGGGCCTTCACCCAACTGTGTGTTATGCACCAGTTACACCTTTTCCTGGAAAGGGAGGCTCTCCATTTGGCCATTTATCCCTGCTCATCTCCTGATTGGACAATTGCAATGCGCTCCACATGGGACTACCATGAAAAGTATCTAGAAGCTTCAGATGTTGGTGTGTGGCCAAATGAGTTATATTGGATGTCCAAAGAAGGGCACATATAACGCCCTGCTCCTTGAACTGCATTGGGTGCCAACTTGCTTCTGGGTTCAATTCAAAGTGCTGGTCACCACCTACAAAGTGCTACATGGCATTGGGTCAGTCTACTCACAGACCCGGCTTGATCCCATCTCCAACCGGTTTGGGGATGTGGCAGGCCTGGATCGCAAAAGCAAAAAACAAGATGGCAACATCTATAGCACCGCCGGGAGAACCGGTTTGAGGGTGTGGCAGGCCTGGATCGCTGCCGGTTCCAGCAACCCAGGCCGCCAAGTTTCTACCAATTCAGCCGAACCGGTCCGAACTGGTGGGACCCCTCCTCTGATACTTAGCCTTTCTTACCGTAATGTTAAAAAACACAAAGCACAACATAACGCAGGACTTAAATTTCCTCCTGGGAAAGTTGTTCAAATCGAGGGCACTCTTGGCAATAAATCAATTTTCATGGTAAGCAGGACAAACTTTGCAGTAAGTGGCTAAATGCCCTATCAGCAGTCCTAAAAGAGAGTTCTGTATCCAATGAGCCCTCTTTATCAGACGTGGTATTCATCAGGTTCTAGCCAGTTCTGGGGAACTGGTTAGCAGAAATTTTGAATAGTTCGGAGAACCGGTAAATACCACCTCTGACTGGCCTGGCCCCCATCTATTCTGTGCCTCCCGAGTCCCAGCTGATCAGGAGGGATTGAGGATTTTGCAGTAACCTTCCCCTGGAATGAGGTGGGAATGAAGATTTTACAATATCCTTCCCCTGCCATGCCCACCAAGCCACACCTGGTTCACCAAGCCATGCCCACTTAACTGGTCCTAAAATATTTTGAATCCTACTGCTGCTCTTTATATCTTTGCTGATAATGTGGAGCAGCTGAAATTTCATGTGTGAAGGATTCCATATAAATAAAGTTATTTGGCTCTGCTTCACTTGCCTAAAATGGACTTGAAATTGAGATTCTGTGGACATCATTTTATCCTGAAAGATCTTGTTAGCAATAGCAGTTAGACTTATATACCGCTTCATAGGGCTTTCAGTCCTCTCTAAGTGGTTTACAGAGTCAGCATATCGCCCCCACAGTCTGGGTNTGGAGTGCATCTGCACTGGCCAGCTGGTCTTCAGGTTTCCAGGCCTCCGGCATACACAAAGATCAGCTGGCTTACTCAGTGTGCACCGGAAACCAGAAGAGTAGCTGGCACCCAAAGAGGGCTCTATGTACCAATTCTAGCATTCGTGCCATAGGTTCGCCATTACAGTTCTATAGGATGAGAACAACCGCCAAGAAGGCACTTTTCCTAGCTCCCATTAATTAACATTCTTTAACAAAAGGGATCTGTAACATAACAATCCCTGTCTGACCTGGTGGGACAGGTCAGTTCAACTGGGACAAGATTGGGTATGCTTCTTTATTGGATACATCTCTATTGATTAAATTATGGAAAGATCTGATTGTGCAGTCTTTTTTTTACTGAAGTCCAGTAAATCATCTAGGACATAAACAAGTATCTTACACATTCTTTCCTCTTTTTGTATTCAAAAGAAATATCTGGCAGAGAAACAGGGATGCCTGCTGAAGTTTTTTGGTGACTTGGAAGATCATACTTGTCGAGAAGACCTCCATGCTGTTTTTTCAAATCATGGTGAAATCAAGTGGATAGACTTTGTCAGGGGTGCAAAAGAGGTCAGAAGGGTTACTGTGATATTTCTAAATGGTGAAATGTTAAGCAGATAGATGGCACTGTGTTTTCAGGGCTTAATTTGCATAATTTGAAGCAAGGACCACTGATTTTTTTTACTATTGTTCATGTCCCTTACAATTTACTGGTAGAACACGTTAATGGCAAAAATCTTAACGGAGAAAAACTTGATATATTTTTCAACTATTCAGTAGGGAAGTAATTTCCTAGTAATACTGCAGAACACCAAGGACATTCCTGCTTGCTAAACAATGATGGACTGGAAAAATTCTAGATCCTAGATAAGTTGCTCACTGCAACTATTTGTTCCCTGCCAATATATTCCTAATTTCTTTTTGTAGTCAGCAGCAAGTATCTCAAGGATAAGGGAGAAATGTGCAGATTGTGTGTTGCTTTCTTCAGCTTCTGCTTTCTGCATTTGTCACAGACTATCCTAAGACAATTATCTGTCCCCCAAATGAGTTCTATACATATTCAGTTCCGTTGAGTAAGATGAAGCTTATAGATTTTTAATTCGCAGTGACTGTTGCTTAAATCTTTAGGAAGATGCTATTTTCTGGCTGATGGTTGGAAGCAGTGGATCAGAGCTATCCTATTGCCCCAGAAACTGTCCATTGCAAATATCCCATTGTGAGGCTTAAAATGGCTGGATGCTGCCTGCAGTGATTCAAATTATATTTCTGTATACAGGGTATCATCTTGTTCAAGAGCAGTGCCAAAGGTGCACTGGATAAAGCCCAAGAAGCAAATAATGGGAAATTACAGTTGCGAGAGAAAGATGTCACATGGGAAGTGCTTGAAGGAGATCTGGCCAAAGAAGCACTGAGGAAAATCATGGAGAGCCAGCAGGAGCTGTTAAACAGAAAAAGAGGAAAAGGTGATTTGTTCCTTTTAAGGCATTTGCTTATCATTTAATCTCTCCTGGAAGTTATACTTAAATTGTTGAAATGGACTGTTCTCTTCTGAGAGGAGTTCTGATCTAGCGAGCCCATCTTTGTGTGTTAGAAAGAAAGCTCCATTTGTCCTCAGTGTCTCTGGGGAGGACCAGATTTATACGCACACAGGACAAGCTGCGAGAGCGAAAGGGAAAGGAAGGAGAGTCCTAGAAGACCAACTGTTATTGGGCTGAGGGAAAAAAATGGTAAATACAACGTGATCTGAGCTCTATAGCCCAGCCAAAGGCCTTGCTTTTGAGTACTTGGCTTTGTGGCACTGAAGGAGGTGATCCTTGACCATCAACCTAATTTTTTAATAGTATATCAAAACATTAAAAAGCTTCTGGTTGGCTTTTGGTTTTAAATACCTCTTCCCTTGAAAAATGGATAAACATTTCAAATATAGCCTTCCAGTGCTATCATCACTTGCCCTCAGAGTACAATTTTTTTCTTAAAAATACCCTCTGGCCAAAAGATGTAGAAAATCAAATTCTTGGTAATATTTTCATGCAGGGAAGAACTGCAGAATTTCTTTCATATACTAGATTATTAGGATAACTAATTCACATTTGTTTTTTTAAAAAGAGCAACCTAGCCCACACCTGATTCTTTGTGATACTACAAGGGGGGCGGAAAATGGATTTGTGGCTTGCCACTATCTGCATTTTTGTATACCGTATTCTCCAAACATTGAAAATTGGTCATTTGTTTACCAACAAAAGCCTTTTCATTACAGAGACATTTCTTTTGAGTTTGTGAGTCTGTTTGGATTTGTTCAAATTGTACATTTTCATCTTTCCTTCCATTTCCAGATACATTGTTGATCTGAGCATGTTCTTCAGTTGACCAAAACTAAGATCTTGGAACAATTATTAGTTATATCTAGGCCTCAGGATTTTTCCTACTAAAATGTGATTGTAACCACTTCTCTTTGTGGCTTCTAGAAAAGTCTTTTGTTACCAATCCATGAGACCAATCAAACACATTTGATCAAAATATAAACTTCTGTTTTCACACATCACCCAGAAAGCGGGGTTTTCCCATAAAACCTCTTCTATAAATCTCAGAATTGTTTAGTGTTTTCAAGAAAAGGAAAAACAAGCCATGGGTACACTCACANATCAGGCTTGGAGAGCTGCCAGGCCGATATCTTCCAAACACCACGCTGTGGCAGCAATTACTTGGCAAGAAATCAGGAACAGATCTTCACCCGAATGAATTGAACTAATTGACTCCTGCAAACTCCACTCCCCTTTTGCTCCTCTTTTATTCCCTATGGGAGGGGCCATTCACCGTCCATTTGTGGCTTTACTGCCGAGTCGACCCTTGTTCCTTAGCTGTTCCCTTCTCCTGGCAGCTCTGACACGGAGCCCTCATCCGAGCCTTCCCCAGACTCCAGGATTGGCCCATGTTCCTCCCCAACCTCCTCATTGTGAGTCTCCCACCAGCTCCACTGGCAGGCCACAACAGCCAGCATTTTGTATTAGTTGTTAATCTTCCTTTTTAAAATATCTATTGCCTGTCCGTATGTATAAAAAGAGAAAGAAGTTGTTTTGACCACCTAACCATGGGGATGCTGCGATGGTCACAAGTGCAAAAACTGGTCAGAAGTCACTTTCTTTCAGTGCTGCTGTAACTTTGAGCGGTCCCCTAAGTGAAAGGTCGTAAGTCAAGGATTATCTGTACACCAAAAGAAAGTTATAAAGTACACAGTTGATCTCCCCTTTTTTAAAATTTGTGACACTTTACTCATACCCTGTTTGCCGGAAAATAAGACCTCCCCAGATACTATTCTACTGAGCATGCCCAAGATGGTATCCTGTCGCGTTTGAGGAGAGCTTTGGGGAGATGATTGTCCTTCTCAGGGCTTGCAGGGGGTACCCTATCCCATCATTGGCTCCAGGTCCATCTATGAGAACTCCCTGGGACCTCAGGGGTACCCTTGAGCTGCGATTTCCTGCTGCGTAGCCGGAACATCGTGAGTGAAACGGGGCGGTTGGTGGTGAAGGGAGAATGGAAAGCGTCTGCAGCTGCTGGCGTGGGTGTGGTTGGCGGTGGGATGCCCTGCCTGGGGTTTCTGCCACTGCCGCTCCCCACGCTGTGGTGTTATCCTGGTTGCTCCCCACCCCCACCTTGCTTATGGACGTGATAGGCTGGATCAGCAGGGAGTGGCTGAGGCAGCTGGCATGGATATTGATGCCAGCGGAAGATGGCTTCAGTAGTTGGCGTGGGCGCAGTTGGAGTGGGGGGGTGTCCTTCGTTGTGGCCCCCTCCGGTATCACCGCTGTATCACCGCGGAGTCCTTGGGAGAAGGGCGGCATATAAATCCAATAAACCTATAAACCTATAATAAGCCCAATCGGGCTTTTGAGCACATGCTCTAAAATAAGCCCTCCCCCAAAA